GGTATACTATTGAGATAAAGTTGGTATTAATCTGAATTATATTAAGTTCAGATGTTAATTGTAATGCCTAGGGCAGCCGCTAAGGAAATAACTAAATATATAAAATTAAAAGAAATAGGTAGATTTGGGGTTTTTTGTGGATGAGATTCAGGTCAATACTTTTAAGACACCACCATTTTAAAATTAAAGTTTCAGATTCCTGAGACAGGGTGTCAACTCATTTTATTTTTGTGGTTCATGTCCTCTATTGTGGTCAGAAGAGTAGAGTTTCCAACTTGGCAGACCAGTAGAATGGCACGGGAGTGACAGTGGAGGCCTTTCTCCAAAGGAGTGGATTTGGGGCAGGCAGAAAGAAATGCATGGTGACCACTAAATGTGGTAACTCTTTGTTAACCAGAATTTTGAACAATCAAAATGATTTATTTAATGTGACTCTGCCAGATAATAATATACAGAAAATTGATACTATGCTGTAAACATGACTATGTTTGTGAATGGGGCAATGTGGATTAACAGTGACTAAGTATGGAATGAGGGAATAGGATGGCGTGCCATATTCTAGAACACGTTGTGAAATACTGAAATAGAAGATTGGTTTCCCAATGAAGTTTGAAACTGCAACATCTGTTTTGGTTTGCTAAGTGCTAGTTTTAAGACAAATGTTACATTAACTTAATGTCAACCCAAGTAAGTTATAATTTGTTTAAAAAAATTACAAACATTGTTAAAAGGTAAACAATAGATTAGGGAAAGTGCTTGGAATATATACAACATAGTTACTCTTCTCTAGTTACTATTTATAATATACAAGAAATTCTTACACAATGAAAAGATAAGTAGCTCTAAAGAAAAATGAGCTAAATATATGAATAAGCAATTTACAGATCAAGAAGTCCTAAGGATAAAGAAAAGAGAAAACATGAGCAACTTCACTAGTAGTCAGTGAAATACTAATCAAAAGAACAACAAACTATTGCCATTCATTTACTGGAAAGGCTAAAATTATGGAGAGCATATTGTTACAGCCTTGTGGATAGCAATTTATTAACATTTTAAATAGATCAATTTCATATCTGGTCATCAGTTCCTCAGAAGTTAAAGTACCAGGGCATTTGAATATACATAAAAGGACATTTATCACAACATTGATGGCAATGGCAATTTTTTAAGGAAGTGGAATGTCATGGCTAGGGGAACTCTTGAATAAATTTCAGTATACTCTTATTGTGGAATATAAATGCAGCCCTGAAAATAAAAGAATAAATTCAAACCATCCCAGTTTAATAAGAAGATTTTTTTTAATTTCAGATTAATATGAGGGTACAAATGATCAGGTTACATTATGTGGATTTGTTAGGTAAAGTACAAGTTGTCAGAAGAATTTTTATGACTTACTCTTTAATGAGAAAAGCAAGCATCAGAGAAGTGTACATAGTACGATATCCCATTTTATAAAATAAATAATAGCAAACACTTTAAATAGAATGATGCATATAGATATATTAGCATGGAAAAATTAAGGAAAGCTATTCACTGCTTAACCTTTTAAATAGTTGGAAATAGGGAAAAGTGGTAAGGTCAGGTAAAAAGAAAAAGACTAGAAGAAGGGCTGTCCAAAAGAAAACACAACATGCACAAAATGATTCCATGTGTATATGTATGAATAGACAGGTGTGTAAAGAGATGCATGAAAATGTGATCACCAAAACAGTAACAGTGGTTATTTCAGTATATGAGAGTTTGTTTCCTTCCTCCTATTTTTGCATATTTGAACTTTTACAAGAAGCACACAATTTATCTTCAACCAAAAAATGGTTATTTATTTTAAAATGTGTGTGTGACTGATTGATTGCCGTAGGGGGCGATAATGAGACAGAAACAGACCCTGCCTTGCCAGCCCTGAAAGTTAGGGGGGAGATGAAGACAGAGCCAGCTGTAGCATGCAGCCGAAAACTTGGTGAGGTCTGTAACAGAGGAAATAGCGTTGGGGAAGAGACATGAATTGATCCCACAGATCTGACTGGGAAGATCTGGAAGAATTTCAGTGACGGAGAAGGCTTTTGAGTTGGATCTTGAAGGCCTGGAAGCAATTCAACAGGCTAAGATGGAGATACAGAGAAAACCGGGATGAGGGAACAGAGTGAGCAAAACCAGCAGAGGCGATAAAAACCCTCTGCGGATTCAATAAATGACAATTGGCCCAGTTTATTGTTATAACTGGAACATAGGTATTGAGTAGAAGGAAGACTGGAAAGGTCAGCTGGTGCCTAATTGTGGAAGTATAGACCCTAAACTTACATTGCACAGGACTGTTACTACCAGTTTGGGTGGGGGGTAGAAGGGAGAGGATGTTTGCTTGTTTTGTCAGGAGAGTGACTTTTTTTTTTTTAATTTTTTGAGACAGAGTCTCAGTCTGTCACCCTCAGTAGAGTGCTGTGGCGTCACAACTCACAGCAACCTCCAACTCTTGGGCTTAAGCGTTTCTCTTGCCTCAGCCTGCCGAGAAGCTGGGACTACAGGCACCTGCCACAACACCGGCTATTTTTGGTTGCAGTTGCTACTGCTATTTTAGCTGGCCAGGGCCAGGTTCAAACCCACCATCCTGGGTATATGGGGCTGGCACCCTACCCACTGCGCCACAGCTGCCACCCGAGAGTGACATTCTTAAGTCTGTGTTGGTGCTGGGGAAAGACAAGGTGAGAAAACCAGGTAGGAAACTATTACAATGATTCAGCCCAAGATAATAAACTCTAAGAGCAGGAGTGTCGGAATGCAGACGAGATGACAGTTTCCAGAAACATTTCTGAGGTATAGATGGCAGGCCTGAGTGAAAGATGAATACCTTAGTGCTTGTCAGCTGAGGGGTTGGGGCTACTGTAATCTGAGAAAGAAGACATGGGGACTAGGTTGAGAGAAAGATTCCAAATCTTGCGGAGTATAGAGGGAGTGATGAGGAAAACGGGCTAAAAGCCCAGAGGAATTTCAAAATAAAATAAAAGCCCTACAGAGATCAGAAGGGCAAATCCTTAAACTAAAACTATAGAACCTCCCCCACCCCCTCCCATCCCCCTCCACTTCTCTCCTTCATCCTGGGCTATAGTTGTGATCTTTCATAAGAAAGTATGAGTTTGATAGAAGAAGGGTAAACGGTGGGACCACACCTGTGGAGCATATTGCAAGGGTACAAGTCAAATCTATCAAGTATAGAACATAAATGTCCTAACACAATAATTAAGTAAATGAGGTGAAAGCTATATTAATTCGTTTCATGTAAGCATTCCAAATGGTATTAAAAATCAAGACATTGTACCCCACAAATGCATGAATGTATTAATGATCTAAGTATATATGATTTAATGAAAGAAAAAAAAAATAAAACCATAGAACCAAAGATCTGGTTCTGGACTCTAAAGTCAGCTGTCCCAGGGAAAAGGTGGAGGCACAAGCTGCCCTAACTCAAGCAGCCTCCAGGGAGATAAAATTAGACTTCTTCAGTTTCTTCAGGTTCCAAATGAAAGGGTCTAGCTGTATAGAATAAGAAATCTGGAGAGATTTCTGGGTAAAATCTCAGGCATAATTTATGCTCCTGGGAACCAGCTTTTTGCTTATTGCCTTGAGGAAAACCTTGGCTATCCTTTATTTCTCTTGTTTTCCCCCCAGAATGTTGCACTGTGTTGTTGGGACAGAGTCAATGTGACCTGGCTTCCCCTTGACACCCTCTTTACAGCCAGCTGTTTCCTCAAGGCAGTCATTAAAAAGAGGAATTTTTCAAGAAGCATAAATACATGAAAATATGAAAAGTCTAAGTGGGCCAGGCCTGGTGGTTCACCACCTGTAATCCCAGCACTTTGAGAGGTGAAGATAGGAGGATTGCTTGAGGCCAAGGTTATGAGACTGGCTTGGGCAACACAGTGAGACCCTTTTTCTACAAAAACTTTTTTAAAAAATAGCTAAATGTGGTGGCATGGATCTGTAGTCTCAGCTACTTAGGAGGCTGAGGCAGGAAGATCACTTGAGCCCAGTAGTTTGAGTCTGTGGTGAGCTTTGATCATGCCACTGCACTCTGGTCCTGGTAATAGAATAAGACACTGCCCTAAAAAGAAAAAAAGTCTAAATGGATTCCCAGGATCCTTTACAGATCTGTCCTTAAGGATGTCCGAGGGGGAGAGGGGAGGAGGGAGAGGGATTGCCCACCTAAGGGGCTCAAGTCCACCCCTCTTGGACTTGAGATGCGACCGCAACAGGGACCCCACCTCGCAAAAGCAAGCACTGTAACCTAATCCTTTGTACCTTCGCATTAAGCTGAAGTTTTTTTTTTTTTAAAAAAAAGTGTCTGAAACAACGTCTCACACATTTTAAGGGGGAGATTGTGGGCTGGGTGTGAGCAAAGTGTTTGTGGCCTCCTTATAGCATTCCCAGAAAAAGTAACGTTCTAGTCTTCTGACCTTTCTGATTATAAAATGAATACAAATTCGACAGAAATGACCGGGAAACCCCGGAGGGCATAAATAAGAAAACTAACTGGTAAGTCCATCCCAGAAATAAAAATGAGCCTTTGCTGGGAATCCTTCCGGTCTCGGTCCTGCGGCTGTTTGGGACGCAGCCCGAGGCTCAGGGTCCCGGGCCCGCTGCTCCGACAGGCCGGGGCGGGAGCGCCCACCGAGACAGAGTCCCCGAGGAGGTGGCGGGGGCGGGGCTGCCGGGGGAGGGAGCGGGGAGGGAGACCTGGGGGGAGGAGCCGCGCCGAGCGTGGGTCTGCGGGTCCCCGAGCCGTCGGCCGGGTCCGGGCGCCCCACGCGGGGCGGCGCCAGGGGACGCGGCAGGCTTGGCCCGCGGTGCCCGCACTCGGCACTGGCCGCGCGGCCGTCGGCGCCTCCCGCCTCCGGCCTCCCGCCCGGCTCGCGGCGCGGCGATGGGCGCGGGTCGGCGTCTCAGTCCTGCCCGGCCCCGCCCGCCCCGTCCAGCCCCGCGAGCCGGAGAGGCTCCAGACCGCGGGCCTCCTGCGCGCAGCCTCGGGCCTGGCCCTTCTCGGCCGTCGGGGACCCAGTGAGGTAAGCAGAGCGCCCGAGAGGACCCCAAATTCGGGATCTTTAGGGCCTCTCTGTGAACACCATGCACCCACCAAACTTCACTTATTAATAATTACAAAGTAAAACGTGGACGGGGGAAGGGGCTTTTTCTTCTCCTCTCTGGAATCTGGGCACTTCTTTGGAAACTGTGACGACTGTGAAGTCTTTGAGACTTGAGGCGAACGTGGGGTCTTTCCCCAGGATTGCAGAGCGCAATCCCAGGTGAAGAGAGAGAGGAGAGTACGGGAATTTGGTGTAAAGAGGAGGAGCGGTGGCTGCGACGCCGAGTAAGCCACCGCGCTGACTAGGAGAGCTCATTCGCAGAGCTCTCATCGCGCCCCGGTGTCCCCAGCTTTGCCTTGAGGGGGCCCTTGCACATCTCGGGTGCAGAGCAGTGGGCAGGACTGGCTCCCTCCGGGACTGTGAAGTCCCCCAGAGAGACCATTTCATTGCCCCGGACTCTCCAATTGCTGTGGGCTCGGCCGAGTCGCCCGGGGGCTGCAGCGTCCTTTCCCCCAACCCGCAGCCTTTCCCATTAGCTCTGTCCGAAAGCAGACGCCTTCTGTGGGAACTCTGGGTATCCAGGTGCTTCTGCAGCAGACGAGCCTTGAGGTTTTTTTCTTTAAAATTGAGTTCTGTTGTTTATATTTCCGGATTGAAACCTGTGGAGAGTAGAAGTCGTGGCACGGTATATCCCTTGGTTGGTTTTCTAGGTACGCACGTGTGTGAATCGTGAGTAAATTACCTCCTAGCCTAGACCGAAATGGCTTTCCTTCTGTAAGTAGTGCTTTAAAGCAGAGAAGGATGTTCACGTGGGAGTTAAGGACTGGAAAAATTGTTGTTATAGTTGTGTCAGGCAGCAAGGCCTGCAAAGAAAAACTAATTTTTCTCCACCAGTGGCTAAATTTTTCACAGACGTCTTCCAACCGGCAGGGTAGCAGCCACGCTTGCAGTACAGCGCTTTTTCCTTGTTGGGGCAAATGGGCACGCAAACAAATGGCTGGGGAAGCGCTTGCGTGTGGGTTAAGGAACTTTGAATCTGGACGGGTAAGTGCTTTGGCAGGCTTTGGTTGAGTTAGGGGTCTCTTGGGAGGGGTGGAGATGGCTCTCTGGTCCCCATTGCCAGTCTAATTCCACTTCAGGGCCGCCATTGTCCCTGGAGTGTTCCCTTGGTTTTCCCTTCTCTTCCACTCCCAGCTATTAGCTTCTCGTTTTCCCCCAAGGAAGTCTGGAGTTGAGCCTGGTCAGAGGCTGAGTTATGGTAGCCTGGGGATAGAGAATCTCCAATATGGTGAAGGCACAAAAGTAACCCTAGGGGATGGTGGGATGAAAGAACTTACCGTCTAGAAGGCTCTCAAGAGAGTGGAAGAGTAAAGATTGAAGGAAAGGGATTTTCTGGAAGGGAGAATAGGCTCATAACAGTTTATTTCCTGCTGAGAGTTTTAATCTTTCCTTTTTTGTTGCTTGACCATGAGGATATTTCCAGATAGGACAGAAGGATGAGGCCTTCTCTGGAAAGTGCCCTGAATTCCCATTTTTATTCCATTCCTGTGCAGGTTTTCAGAGAGTAATTAGAGGCAGGGTGAGAGCAGAAAGAAGCTCAAAGGCTCTGGCAGGCCAGGGAAATAATGGAACATGCACTGACTTGGGCAGCAAAGTTAGATCTGAGACTTGAAAGGAGTGTTCTGTTTAATTAAAAAATTAGAGCTTTTATTTTGCAGAAAGGTGTTGAGAACCGCAACATTCTTGTTTAGTTGCTGATGAATTTTACCTCATAAAGGATGCAAATCCCTATCTCACTTTTTCTCCAGCCTTTTATTATGAAATACTTTGGACATACAGAAAAGTTACCTAACTCTCCATAAACTTACGATTTTCTTAAAATATAAATGTGTTAATAAAAATCAGAGTTTAAAATGACAGACATATATGATCTGGTCCTGGACAGAGTTTGAATCATAAGTGGTTAAGAAGCAGATGTGTGAAGGATATTAAAAAACATTTCAAGGAAAAAAAAATATGGATCTTATTCTTCTGACTCTCCCATAAGAATCTTGGGCATATCTCTTAATCTCCTTCTTTTTCCCATTTATAAAACATTAGTTGAATTGTATTATCCCATGCTTACTACCCTGAAACACCCCCCCACACACACACACCCCTTTTGAATCTCATCCAGCTCTCTGGACAGGGCTTACCGAAGCCTGGTGTGATCTGACTTGTTTGACTTTGTGTTCTATCCCTCCCTCTCACTTACCATGCTCCCTGCTCCCCTGCTCTTCCTGCAGCCTGAACACTCACATATTGGCACTAATTTCCTCAACTCATTCAGGTCTCTTTTCAAATGTGACCTTCTCAATGAAACTTTCCCTGGCCACTGGATCTAAAACAACCCATCGTCACTCCTGTTCTCTAACTCTGCTCTATCCTTCATTATGGCAGTTGGCTCTATCTGACATTATACAGTTTACCTATTTCCCCGTTCATTATGCATATCCCCCACTCTAATGTAAACTCCATAAGGACAAGGAATTTTTTGTTTTATGTGTGGCTGTGTTCCTGTTTGGCATAGTAATAAGCAATTAAACAATAGAATCAAGTAATACAAATAAGGCAATGATGCCCAAAAGGCTGGCAGAACCCTTGGTAAAATACTAGAAGTCCTTTTAGGTAATTGGTATTAATTAATATTTTACGGGTAAATGGTGATCCTTTAGATCAGTGGCCTCACAGTGCTTCTAAGTTAAATCCTGTGCTAGAAGTTGGACCAGTTTGACAAACCCACATCCCAAACAACACATAACATTTTTTCACCCCAGAGCTTTCCTTATGCCTCTTTCTAATCTCTCCCACCATTCAGAAGCAGCAAACTTTATTCTGATTTCTATCATTATAGTTTAGTTTTGCTGGTTCTTGAATTTGCTGCCATTATACAGTATGCATTCTTATGTTTGGCTACTTTTGTTCAACATAATCTCTGTGAGATTCATCCATGCTATTGAGTACAGCACCAGTTCGTACCTTTTTATTCCAAAATAGTATTTATTGTATGAATGTTAACCATGTGTTTATCCATTCTCCAATTGATGGACACTTGGGTTGTTTCTAGTTTGGGACTGTTTTGAGTAAAGCTGCCATGAACATCCTTATAGCATCTGCCTTATTTTGATTTCAGTGTGCTTTATTTGCAAATCTTCTTATGCCTCCAGTGCTGAGAGAAGTCTGTGGGCAATGTGGCAGCCTGCCTACAGCCTAGCCAGTGTCCTCTCTGGACAGCTCCACTGGGAGCTGCCCTGCCTCCCACTTTAGAGGGAGAGCACTTGGAAAATGAGTGTCTATGCAAATTATGGGATCCCCTGGGGTACACTGTAAGTGCTTTTAGATCGTTGAAAGAGACACCATAGAATGCCTGCTGCCATTGCTGTTGTATTCCCCCGCCTCAGTTCTTCATCCCAATGTTGACTCTAATCAGCCTCTGAGCATTGTGCTACCGAAGAGTTTAAATATTTATAAGCCTGAGCCTTGTCCAGAGCTTGATAAAATATTTATGTGTTTCCATGGGGCATTGGTTTCCACTTAGACTTCTCAAGATGTTTTTCTGAGATGCTTGTCATAATCGTGAAGAACTCAGAGATATATGATATGGCCTGAGAACACCCATGTTATTGAACCCTACCTTGCAGAGCACCCTGCCTTCTGAGAAAAGAAAAGAATGAACACATGAAAAGATGGGCATGAATGGTGGCTGGATCAGGAGAAAGTCCGCATGTGCTGATAAAATGGCTTCAGAAAAGGGCCTAGTAAGGTAGTACCCATAAAGGTGTGACTCCTGAAAGGACAGAAGAAAGAACTTGTGAGAATGAGGAAGGATTAATTAAGATGGGATGTGTTCATTCCAAATAGAGGAATGGAGGCGCCGGCATTGTAAATGGCCCAGTTCCTTTGACACTGATGTGGACAAGGCCTGTATGAGACAACTATGCTGTGTGCTACATGAGGTTGTCACAGCCTGCTGTGAGAGTATGCAGGTAGGTGTGGAGGTCAGCCAGGGCTTCGGAGGGCAGAAGGATATTCCAGGAGGTCATCATTTTCCTCTGAGGAAGAAGTGGCTTTGGAGTCAGGTTCTGACGGAGGTGACTCTTTGGCAGCTATGGTGTGGAAGGGCCTTTTCAGAGAGATGGAATAACTTGAGATGATATTTGAGTCTGGGCCACAGTGCCAGTGGTGTGAGAAAGGTTAGGAGGGAGTGAGGTCAGGGCTGGGTCGCAGTGAGACATAAAGCGGGAAACTAAAGGCCAGCTTATGCAGGCTGCAGGAGAAGGGACTTGAGTCTTTGTCTGAAGGAACCATGCAACTTTTGACCAGAGATTGGTTCAGTTTTAAGCAGTTTTGGTGAGGTACATCCAGCCCAGGCAAGGCCTTAGAGGTATGTCTATGTCCAAGGCACTTCTAGAATATTCTGCTGTATCCAACCCAGTCTAAAGACTCTGTATAGTCTATTCTAAGAGATGTAAACCAGAGAAGATCAGATTCATTCAATAGATGTACACCCCTAGGACTGACATGCAGCACCACCAGCCACCTTCCTGCCCCAACACACAAGCACACAGATATGCTGAGCCAAGCTGAACCCCAGGCTGTGTGCTGCATCCTGCAATCTTCCCCATCCCTACTTTGCCTCAGTGGGGGAGCTGTGAGCATCTAAGCACCCATTTATTGCCTGTGTGGTTGGAGTTGAAGGTGTAGGAAGGGCCTGAAGGCATTGCCCTGGCAAGACTTCAGACCAACAAGGCCTTCCTTGGCTTTAATCTGAGATACTCCTGATTTCTGTGTGAGGTGGAGTCTCTCAAAGGTCCTGTTAGCCTTAGTGTTTCCTCTGCACAGGTGAACAGGGTGCACGTTTAATTGAGTGCCTTTTCTGAACACACATTTTGATGATTCTGTGATTGTGCCAGAGCCAGTGATGGATGCCTGCTTTTGGA